GGACCTCGGAACGTACGCACATCTATAACACTGGATACTGGTTCCCCGTCTATCACAAAATGGTCGGTCTGGTTGAGAGTTTTTCGTTCTGGATACCGCCAAGTAACTTGGTGAATTTTCTTGTGCTGGAATCTAGTGCTACAGACAACCATATTCCGGGCCCCGGCGAAGTCGATCAGCCTCAGCTCATTTGGGGATGTTTCGTCCTGAAGGCTGAATTTCCAAATCAGAGTGGGGATAAAGAATTTTGTTTTGAAACGGATTGCGGCGAGTCGTTAATCCACCAGAGTGAATGCCAGTACTCGGCGACGAAGTCTCTCTCCCATCACGAATCCCACACCAAATTTCCGCTCCTTTATATGGTGGCTGAAGTAAATTTCACAAGGACCCATCTTCTTCCATCTTTGCCCCGTCCATCGCATTTTTTGGATGGCGGTGATGTCAGTCTTTAACTTTATGAGAACATCAACCAGCTGGGCAGCGGTGTCCTCCCAATTAAGGTACCGAACATTCCAGGTGCATGTCCTAAAATCGTAAACCTTACAACATTTGTGGGGGCCGTCATCAAAAGGGGGTCTCTCATCCGATGCTGATTTCGATTTCTTTAGATTGCTGTGGTAGCCGAGCGGTTAGTATTGTGTACTGCCATTCCGAAAGGTCGGGTTCAAACTCTTGTGCGACCAATATCAAAAAGTTATAGAAAATTAATTTTTAAAAATTAAGCCAAATTTTTTAATTACGGTCCCCCTTCGGCAGGAAATGCACTTTTTCTTCAAATTTTTCTTTAATTCTATAGAAAAATGTCTCTTTTGTTTTCAACCTTTAAAATGTTGCAGGAGTGGCAGTCCTTTGCCGGATAAAAATCCAGATCGTTCCGGTATAAAGACCCGACTGTCGAGGAACCTATTGGATTTTAGTAGCCTCTCAAATAGGCATGCATTACCGCGGGTAAATTCTTGAACCCCAAAATCGCAGGAGGCTTCTTTATGCTTATTTAGTTTATTCATCTATCACGGATTTTCAGTAACCGTTATCGTTTTGTTTCGTAATTTCTTCCATTTCCATTTACCTTCCCCAAACCTTTTCATGCTACTCAATTATTGAAGCTCCATTGTTGTTATTATTGCATGAGATAATTTGATTTTGACTATAATTGTAAGTCGTCATTAGGATTTTATTGAGAAATTATATCTTTAATTGCGAAAAATCTGAGGGACCAAAGGTGCAATCAAGATCGCTGCTTCCCTTTTACACGTACGTGATTGGCATTCGAATGGCTCTTTTCTAAAAAAAATTGAGTAGCCGTTGCCTCAAGGAATTATTAATATACATATATAATATATATAAAGTCAATAAACTCTTAGGGTATAAACCGCAAATTCATGCACGTAAAGCTCGGGTCTGCTTACACAGAAGTACGAGTACATTGGGGTGGTTCACTAACGCGTATGTAGCAATTTACCAGTACTCACCAAACATGTTGGTAGAATATAATATATAAAAACAAATAAGCTAAACAAATTCAATACAAAAGTAGGTTATAATGTATTAATTATTTATTTCCAGATCGCTGAGGGAAACCCCTTCATAATTCAAAAATGAACAGAAGCTCACTTTAACTGTGCTGAATCGTTATGAAACGTTCATCTATTTTATTTTCATTTATATTTAGAAATACGTACATACAATATACATATATGAATGTGTATATGTAATTGGCTCTTCATAACCGCTGAAGCGATTTTCGGCAGAACTCCTTCCACAATTTGTTATATTTGTGTCTTGATATTTGATACAGTTTATACTAAGCCGCCTCCCAACGGCAACTGCATTTTTATGAGGAGCATTTATTTCATGTCAGAAATACACTCGGAGAGCTTAACATACCTTGCCGAGAGGCAACCGCAATTGGAAATATTAATATTCTATAATTTGGGATGTTGGATTCGAACCCTGGATTTCCACACTAACTACTCGGCTATCGAGGAAGCCCCTATTAAGTGGTGACATAGGTCTTGAAGGCAAAAAAAAAGCTTATTTTCTCTAATTTTTTCAAAATATACTAAATAAAGTATACAATTTATTTTGCTTACATATAAATGTGCAATGTGTGTAGACAAAATTTGATGAAAATTTGAATGAAGAACAGTATAAGTTAAGGCGTTGGCAGTGTCGTGGAGTAGATCCACAAGAAAGTGCTTTCGCGGTAGTCATGATAACTTTTTTAATTTTTATTAGAAATCAAATCAAATCCAAATTTTTTCTTAATGGTGAATTTTCCTTATCTCTGAACGAAGATAAATTAAAAAAATGAATTTTTTGTAGCGTTTTTTTACGAAAAACGTAATTTTTTGCATAAAATTAGGCTTGTAAAATGAGTTGAAATCAAAAATAAAATTAATCTTTCGTTCTGGAACTACAAAAACACGCTTGAAAGAAGTGTGGAAAATTTAACTCGATCGCTTCAATAGTCGTTGAAAGTTTTATCATCGGTTAAACCATGACAAAGACGGCGGGTTTTGAAACTCTCTGAATTCCACAGTTTCGTCTCGATCGACTTTTAATCTTATTGTCCCAAAAATTAATTTTTTGAAGTTTTAAGACCTATGTAACCCCTTAAAGAAGCAAATACATAAATACAGCGCAAAATTTTCCTTACCACCCTAATGTAAACATATACATACATACATACTCGTATGTAGTACATGTGTATATTAAAGTATTGGCAGGTGATTTCTGATATTTTTCTGTAGCGGTTTGTTACAGTCAAGACTTAAGATATTGTTTTTAACATATATATATATATATATATGTATATGTATGCTGGTATGCCCGAGAATACGCATACGTGTATGTATGAATTAGCGGCTGAAACTACGACTCCAGCGAAGAATTGGCGAACAGTGTAAAGAGACGCGGGTAGCGCGCACGCGCTTCCGATCGATGGACTGAGTACGCAATCGTAACGGCTTTGTCGAATATATATATATGTAAGTACAAATATGTATGGGAACCACAATATAAACATTTACCGTGTCTTTATGTGCGTAATTAAAATGAAGAAGCTCAAAGAAGTCGCGAAAATGTCTTTTTTATTTTGATTCTTTCAACTTACTCAACTCAAGTCAACTCAGCAGTGATTTACTCGGACAAGTGTTCAGTTGTTGCGAGTATGTTGTTGTGGCTAATGTGATCAGAATATATTGTATTTTATGGATTGGCCTGATGGCAGTATCCTGATCACAAATTCTATTGCTGCATATGTATGTACTCGTATATACACACGTGTACATTAAACACAAATCCATCTGTGGGTACATATGTGTGTTTGTGTTTGTGCACATGCTTATGTAAAGTACACAATTATTTATTTAAATTTTCTGCAGCGGAAAGGAGTGAAGTTAATTGATCAAAAGACATACGTACATAGCTAATCAGACGCGTCTACATTCCGGGTAATGATGCTTACCGAGGTGATTTTTTTTACTTCCATATTTTGTTTTTTTCTTCGTAATCACATTTACGGGGCTGCGGTCAGTAAACGGTTGGCAAAAAGCCATAAACAAAAATTTAAATAACACAAAAGGGGATTGTGATATGTGCATAATGTGAAATATTGGCATTAGGATGGCTCGAAATAAAATTTTCTCGTTTATGAGTGAGAACCAGGTTTATAAAATTTCCTACCTTTCGCCCCTAAATACCTATCTGTAGCTCTGTATAACATATATACATACGAAGGGCTTAAAAAAAGTTCGGTCAGTTTGTGACTTTCAATTTGTTTTTGTTAAATCTAAAAATACCAAAGCCTTTGCAATTACTTTATTAGTCTTCTATTCAAATTTGAGAACGATCAGCTAAAATGAAGATGAGGAAACTCAAGATGGCTGAGGATAGGTCAACCGAAATTCCACCACCAACGTGAACAGAAAGTCGCCATGTGATTCTCTTCGAGTTTCGGCGTAATTTATAGCCAGTAAAAATATTCAGTGGATGCCTAATTGCATATGGAACGATTTCACCGTCTTTAAAGACTTATTCTGAGTGGTCCCGAAGATTCCAGAACAGACATGTTTGCGTAGAGAAGATCGACCTAAATCTTCCACTGACGTCTGGCGAAGTCCAAAATTGACACCAAAGAGTGCTTACCAAAAATTTGTTGGAAAAAGAGTAGTTTTATTGCGATCTATGGGATCGAAGAAATACGTCCAGCACCACATTCACCTTGTGATTTCTGGTTATTTCCAAATATTAATAAAATTTTAAAAGAAAGGTCTTTAATAGCAACTGTTACCGCTGAATTTGATAAGCTTAAAAAAACAAGATCTTAAAGACTGTTTTTAGAAGTGTATTCATAAGCTTAAGAAAATGTATTGAAATCAATGTCGATTATGTAGAGAAGATAAAATAAGGGGCAAAGATTACGAATAAATACAAAAATAATTGTTTTTTTTTTATTTTCTGGTCAACTTACCGAACTTTTGTTAATCCCCTCGTATGTATGTAATTTTGTATTGTGAATTCAGCCTCGATTCAGCCTCTAATCGTAACGATAAATTCCCCGTTAGTCAAAAAATTTCTATCGTTTCTTTTGAAACATTTGGAAACGTTAAGGTTAAAGTAGTTATCAAAATAAATTTCTTTTTGTTTTTACCCGAAACGAAAGCTGCCGTTAATATTAAATCGTTAACAGATAATGTTAAACGTTACAATCGAAATGTGCTGTTAAATCATAACAAGCAGCGATTTTAAATTAACGTTACCGATTTCATTTCGTTCTGTTAACATGGCGCCGAAACGGAACGGTTTCACTTCGTTGAGTTTATTTTTCTTGTTAGCGAAAAGAAATGATATCGTTACGTTTGCTGAGCTTATATAATATTGTATATTGACTTAAAAAATTGGTCTGCAGTGTATTATTGCTCCCCCTAATGGTTGTGTATATTTATGCACGCTTGTATTTCTAAGATATTTGCCTTTATTCGCGATGGAGCTGGCAGTGTGGAAAGACACGCATAGACTCATGCAGCACTCGAAGACAGTGATGGGATCTCGGGTCGAGAACAGTCAGCATTAGCCATTTACGGAAAAGATGTGAATGCCACAGCCTTTTTTTTCAAATTTCTGAGTTTATTTTTAGTAACTAAAGTATCGATTTGAATAAAGGTAAATACAATAAAGTAACTCAAGCGACAAAGTGTGTTACAATCAGATTTATGTAAACCGCGCAAGTCTTAATGCACGGCACGGCAACAATTTCTTCATTCCCATATAAATAAGCTGCGAAATTCTGTGCTGACTGATAGTCGAGAAGCTGTGGTGATCTTGAAAAGTACTAATACGATCGCAGTCGTATTGCAACAATTGTGAAAAATTGAATAAACAAACCAAAGAGGAGATAATAAATATGAAGCTCTACTTGTTTACATTGCTGTTCATATTATTCGCGTCTACTGCGGAAATTTGTTCCGGACTCTCATGGCCATTTGCGAAGGCTGTTAGGGGTTATCAAGGGGTGAATAGCTATTACGGAGTTGGTGGTGGGTACTACAGCGACGCTCAGAATGGAGACGGTCATTATGGGCGCGATAGACGTGGCAATAATCGACGTAGTGGCCGAACCTTTGGAGATATTGCCCGAGTTGTTAATCCACAGCCGTATGCCTTTGTGGGTGCGAGACCTTTTCCTGGTCAACCGTTTAATCCAATTGGTTAGGCTTTGACGTCAAGTGATGCTGTAGATAAGTAATACGAAATATAGTGATTTGATAAGAAAAAAGCATGTGCTTGTCATATTTTAATAAAAAATGTGGTACACTGTGCCGTTTTTAATTAATAGTGATTGTTTGCTTATGAAGCTTTGAAATGATTCACATACATATGTATATATTTTAAGTTTGTCCTTGGCCTCATATTTTTTTTTTAGTAAATATTAAATTGCCGCAAAACTGTTAAATAAAGATGTCAAGAAGGTAGTTAATCACGCCTGATGTTTACAATTTTTCTTCATATATGTATTTTCGATCATCCATTAAAATTTAGACACCTCACTTTTGCTTGTCCTTGAAACAATTGCCGAAACACCTTTACCGCTCTTACCTTCTCAGTTTATCTTTTACTTATACCAGGGAATAAAAAGACGTAATTCGGTGACAAGTCAAGTTTACCGCTTAAATTTACTGTTCTGCATTGTTCTAGTGGTGCGGTTGCACAGTGACAACCAACCATTTGCTTGGAAGAGTTTCGAAGTACCGTTAACAAAGTATAGTCGGTCAAATTATCATTCAATATTGCATGCTTGCTGATCCCACAACGTCAAAAGTTGTTGTCATAGAGCAATTCCCAAAATATTAAATGCCACCCTCGTAGTTCAAGTTCTAAATACTCAATTCCTATGCAGTTACTGTTATAAAAGTTTATCATACAACAAAATTTGCTTCATCAATTTGCGTAAAATCTTCAGATTTCGCTTTTTAATTGGCGAAACAAATATTTTTAGCATTTTTTTTAATTAAGAAGGACAATTAAGTTTTAAACGAAATTTAGGATATCCTAAGTCGCTGAGTAGCTAAGGGAGAGAATTGTGAATCGGACAAAAATAAAATAAAGTTTAATTGATTCTTTTCATTCTTGAAGAATCTGGTTTTATTCGGCGATTGCAAATAAAGTATTTCACGAGCTGAAAATGCTATAAATAAAACTTCAATGCCAAGATCTCAATAACAAACCGTTTAACGACTAAAATCACTGTATGTATGAACTGGTATGTATATATACACGTACGTACGTAAATTACATATTTAAAACCCAATTATTATCCTGCTGTAAATTTATACAAAAAAACTGCTAAATTTTTCTTTTTTAAATATGAAGTTCACGGAGTTTTCGATTATCTTTCGGTTATTTTGTGTTTGCGCACCAAAGATGTGTTTACATGCTCACCGTTCCCTCGTCCTATATGAAGAGACGGAACATTTGGAAAATTTGCGTGCATAGTTAATTCTGGATATTATTTCCGAATGAACCTTCAATGCTTCAGCAAATAAATTTAAATATAGTGAAATGATTAAAGCTGAGTTTATCTAATATTTAGAGCGGAGATGTAGAGGCCGTACATATATGCCACCTCTCGGCAGAAAATTTCAAGTGTTCGAGTGTATTTTTGACATAAAATAAAAGCTCCTCATAAGAATGTATCGGCCGTTCGGGGACGGCTTAGATTGAACATCCAGATGCATTCCACAAATCGGAGGAGTCCAATTCGAGCAAAGGTGTATGGAAAAAGAAGTCTGATGAGGAAATAGCAGCTATAACTTCTTGCGCCCAAAGCTTCTGTTCTCTATTTCCAAAAAAATACATGATCTGAAACAGTTCCATGAAAAAACCAAATGTCTCATAATTAAAGAAGTTGCAGGATTGTTTGCGCACCAAACGCATTTACCTGCTAATGTCTAGTTTCACTTTATTTTAGTTGAAGAAAAGCATTATACTTCTGCACTCTTGATACACTTACTTTCAATATCACACCGAACATCATGACGTATGAGTGTTAATGCACCGCACCGCCAAGCTAACGTTTATGGCTAATTGCATTCGCATGATATTTTAAGCATTCTCCTTCTGTGGGCATCGTCTCTCCTCTTTCTGGTAGTTTCAATGATGCATTAATATATTTGTAATGTTTTATCTAAAATACAAAAGTACATACATATGTGCGAGTATATATGGGGGCCCGTCTATTATTTGCCTATTCTATTTACTTGTTTTGCGCTTAATTAGCTACACTTCTCTGCCCATATCCACATACAAGGAACGTGCTAAGCATATTACGAAACATTATGGCACCGCATGGTAGTTTAAAGTCAAGCCGCAACAAAATTAAATTAAAATTAAAGCTCCAAAATGATTGCAAATCGTCGGCAAAGAACGTAAATAGAGAGAAATACAATGCGTATGTGTGTGTATTTATCTATTTCCACATGCATATGTACGAGTATATATGTACATACACGTATACAAATTTGTTAACATACTTATCATACATTTATTTACCTAATTTGGCGCTTACCTCGGCTAGCAATGACTTGTAAAATATGCAAATAAAAAAAAAAAACCAAAATTGTGGTTATAAATATAAATGGGCAACGGCAAAATACTCAGTTCCGCAAATATTCAGGTGAAATGCATTCGATCATATAAATACATATGTATATACACAAAGGAGGAGAGACCTTTTTAGATTTAAAAAAAAAAATTGAATTAACTTAATACTCGCCAAATTATCACTTAAATAAAAAATTGTCAATTATATTTCTTAAACAAGGATTTTTTCTGTAACTTCAAAGGTCGATGCGTTTGATCCGTTTTTCATCTTGTGAATGTGTCCACATATATTTTTTAAATATCTATATGTGTCGAACGTAAGAACATATCATATACTTTTTTACTTTTGTCCGTCTATAAGGAGCTCGTTCACGTCCGTCCAACAGAGGTTACGATTGGATTTGTTATGAAAAAATAATGTCTTTGCCCATTTTTTTCGTTCAATAATAGCCCTGTTCGGTGAGCTTGTTACTAAAGTTTACTCAACCGCCGGTAAAATATGCAAAGTGAGAGCGCAATTTTGACGTTTAGTTTGGAGGGAGAGTTGAAAGTTCGTACTGGGAAAATTTCAGCCATATGTATCAATACATATATCTATGTGATTGTATGAATACATACAGTTCAATTCGAGCCTCAGAATTTCGAATAGAAACATTGAATCTGTTCAATTATTCTGAAGAATTTCTTCAGACTGGTGGAAATAAAATAACCAAATTATTTTTCACTTTCAATATAATCATCTGCAAGATGAAAACATTTTTCAGATATTTCAATTAATTCATAAAACAAATGTCTTCAAAATAAGCCCAAACTCTTTTTTCATATTTGGAAATAGGTAATAATTACTTGGGCCGCGTCTGGTCCAAAAGGTGGATGATGCAAAATATTGAAGCGTACCTCATGCAGGAGAGCCAAGGCGTATTGTGTGAAAGATTAAGGCCATTCACCAACTAACTAATTGGATCTTTTCAGTGTCGCTATGTCTGAATTTGCCTATGTCAATTGAGAAGAAGAACCCATTACGATCCTAATGAGCTAAATTACCCCTCTACAACCCATTTATTCCGCGAACAGGAAAACGTTTCTTCTTAGAATAAGTTTTTCCCCCAAAAAGATAATAATTTTTGCAGTTCGATGTGGTCGCAGTGGTATTTTAAATATATATATGTAGGTATGTATGCTCGGTAAAAATTGGCAAAATTTGTAACTGCCCATCAGCTCACCGAACAGGACTATTATTTTTCTCTGTATATGTTCATATAATTACTCTAAAATTGTAAATGCCATTATGACGGTAATCACTTTAATTCAACATTAATTAATTTCAACATCTTGCTTCTAACTCACACTGAAATCTGCACACTTGTAAATGCATACATGCGTTCGTACGCTCGGATGCAAAATACTTTATGTTAGGAATAATTCGTTTTGCCAATGATTTTTTTTTCTTTTACAATGCGTATCAATTCACTCATAAATACAAGAAGTTCATACGTACATACATACATTTTATACGCCTAAGTTAGTTTAATATTTTTTTGGGTAAATTTGGTTTGCCTACAAATGTTTAGTAATAATTCTTGTTTAATCTGCTTACAACCATCATCCCATCCCATTCTGACAGTTAATTTTATGTACGTGTTGAAAATAATTTAAGGCTTATGTGATGAACGTGAGGAATTAAAATAAAAAGGCAATCACACCTCAAGCCAATATGGAAACACGTTATTTTCCATTAAACGTTAATGTTGTTGTTGTTATTGTTATTGTTACCCCTGCTATGGAGGCGTGCTCACTCCAACGAATCCACTAACGTGAGCAAAATTTTAAAACTTCGCTAGAAAATCGTAATAACAAGAGAAAGGCTTTTGAAAACGAAATAACTGGTACAAGTTTAAGTTCAAACACTCACACACATATGTATGCTTTTTGAAATGTTTGTGAAAACTGTTTAGTTGATAAATAAATGATGAGTGGAAATCAAAGCGTTTCGATTGAGGTTTTCTAATTAGATTTCTTCTTAAAAAGTTTTGTCAGCGAATCAATTAACTAATTTTACCTAACCTTTACCTTGTAATATCAAGTTGAAAAATTGGTTTTTCACGTAGTTTTCACCATTTCAAAAATCAGTGTGGTCCGATTCGGCCGGTACCGACAAATGAACGTAAATGATTCTAAAAGCTGTGGGACTAGTCTGCGCACAAACGGTTGGATAGACGGATGTGGCTAAATCAACTCAACTACCAATAAAACTAATGAAGCAATGCCGTATTTTTGCTTGAAAAATTAAAAACACTGTGCTAAGTTCTATGAAAAACTGAAACGCACATTTCATTGGGCTAAGATGAAATATTCTGTTTAGAAGTATGTGTGAATTTAATGCATTTAACGTTAATCAAATTTACGTATTAAATTCTTTTCTTATTTTAAATTTAATTATTCCCTCCCACATCTACAATTGATATTGGGCGCTGTTGCGAATGATTATTTCTGATATTTTTTAAGTTACAATTTATATTATGACTTTTAATTACACCTAGTATGTGTATTTCCTTACAATTACATAGAAAAAATAGTCTATAAAAATAAGTATCATATTATATATGTATACATGGGTCAGCATAAGATAAGGATAAATATGTAACTAAACTGTTCCAATTAGTCCATGAAAAATGTTTAAAAAATGAAAAAAGTATCATTCAAGTAAGTTTGGAATCGAATTCCCACAGCTCAGGAGCAGTAGTAATAAACGCGTTGCTGTAAAACAAGCTGATAAGCCGAAAAACTAATTGTGGTACATCTCGTAAAGCAGGAGTGTTTTCATCTTTAATAATGCCAATAGCTGTTATTATTTGTTGCTTAATATCAGCAAATTTTTTATTTGCCAATAACACCGTTAGTTCGTGTAGCGAGAGCGAAAATTCGTCGTTCGGATATGGACCAGTGGGTCTGTAAAATATATGATTATAAATGAGTGTTATTAGTTATTTCAATAAATCTTTTTTTGATATTTTACATTTTACCTAGCAATTGGAAATAAGGAGTAAAGGACACAGGCGAAACTACGTGCGAGTGCTTTCCGCCTACCAAAAATCAAATAAAAAATACTTTAGGTTGCAATCTAAGCAAATAAATTCAAGCATACTTATTAGTTATAACACCGGTCTTCAAACCGATTGCTCCCAACAACGTGTCACCCCACCCTTCGGATTGGGTAGATGTTATACACATGTAAGAAGTGAACATGGTCAGTACTTTTTTTACATTTTGCGTCTCATAAAGAATCTGACAACCATGCGAGATTATCGCACACCATACTAGCGCCAATCGAGGTTCTGTGTAAGCGCTGTGGATATGGGGAAAGCAAAATAAGTAGAAGAACGAAGTAATGTGCAGTTACTATTTAGAAAAAATTTCTGGCCAATGCGGTCACTACTTACTCTGTTTTACATCCTTCCACCAACTGGCAAACGTCTTGCAGGAAAGTGATTTTATCACCGATATTTGTAATTTGTTCCATTTTGTAAACAAAGAATATATGCAGAGTTAAGAAAAATGGACCGCGCAAGATAGGCATCAAGTCCATTTTATCAAACGAAGTTTGTAGTATCTCTTTCAAGGTTTTCCAGTTGGGTGTGTGCCAACTAGCTGATTCAGGGGATGAGCGAAAATAATGTGCAATAGTAGATTCCAATAGTGGATAGATCCCAGTAACAAATGTTTTCATATGCCCAATAGCATTGAGTGTAGTACAGAGCAGGAAATTGCCAGGTTCACAATGTGCTTGCCATTGAATGAGCGTGTCTACAAGTTGACTGGAAATATAGGAACAAATAGTTAATGTTAGAAGTAATGGAATTTTCATCTTATTCGATATCCCCATTGTCATACTATAGTCTACTGAACCTTTTTCACAAGTTTCTTTTCACACATTATATCACTTACTTTGACGTCTCAACTCTTTGCGTTTGCATAGGCATCAATATTTCCACCATAAGATTTAATGCTTCACGTTTCTGTTCATCGACATTTTTGATGCCCCCCGTTGCACGTACAGATTTATCAATTGTATTCAACAATTCGGTAAAGGCTGCATTGAATGCGTTCATGCCTTCTTTGGTGCTCATTAACTTGGGGTTTTTCGTAACTGCGAGGCATAGCAAAACAACGTGATTGCGTGTGTATAGTATACGCTTCGCAGTGGCGTAATGAATGGGCTGCATAATAGATTCCCAGGCAGCGGCTTTCTCCGGCATCATAGCACAACTTAGTCGCAATAGGCTAAAAAGAATAAAAAATGTATATGAAAATAATAATCAGCGTGTGAGGAGGAATTGTTTTCTGCCAATAACTTACTCCAAAACAGCTCTGTCGGCGTAGTTAGTTTCCGTTGGCATTTGTAGTATGATGGGATAGTCTATGGTTGTGACAAACCATTTGAATAAACTTTCCAATTCCGCGTAGCTTACCATATACCAGGGATACTGAATAGCGTCCTCTAATATCTTACTAGTATTTATATTTATATGTATATTCGGTTCAAAAGAAATCTTTACAAAAACCGTAAAAAGTCGCGAAATAAGCTTTGATTGCATATTATGCGGTATTATTGGAAACGTTTCCTCGAACCAGGCCGTCCAATTGATGCGAATAAATATGTGTGCCAACATAGCATGTGCGGAGGGAACAAACTGAAAAGAAATTATTCACTATGAAACAAGAAAGAAGGGTAGTCTTTGTTGCTTCAAACGAATGTGTTGAAGGCTTTTTTTCTTTTATTCCCAATATCAAAATTAAATTAAATTTTACTATTGGATATTTTATTTATGTTTTTTATAATAATGGTTAAACTTACTTTCTGTAAATTGTCATAAAACAAATCTATATGAGTAGGCTGGGGTTTGAATCTTTCCCAGGGCAACGCACCCATACCCTCGTGTATATTTCCGTAAACATAGAATTCAATTTTCGGAATGGCAAAGTGATGCACATACCAGCTGAACATATGTGCGATGGCTACGTAGGAAACTGTAACATGCAAAAGCGTAATTAATCTCATATTAAAGTATAAACTAGAAAAAAACCCATTTACCTGGCAAATTTTCCAGCAAAAAGTTGATTGAATCAATTAAACATTTCACCATTATTTTGCTCTTTGGCGTATGCTGCTCACTCCAAGGCAGCAATATTTTATCTTGGACTGTTAATTGGCGTATCCAATTTGCAGGTGATTGCTGTAGAGTGTCTTGGGTGTATGGTACCAACCAGGGCGAATAAAGCTCAATAATTGAGCCGAAAACAGTATCGCTTACTGAAAGAAAAACCGTTACCTTTTTAAATCTTATCCATAGCTTTTTTTGTATATATTGAATTCTCACTTTGATCCGCTAGCTTATCTTGAAATGTACAAATCGCCGTCACAACCACAACATGACCCATGCATGAAAACCACATGGCAAGGGGATTCACATAATCTTTGTGCTTGGGGTATAAGCCGTGCAGCCCATGATGTAAGCGTTCCTTTTGGAAGTGACGCGCAAATAGCAATACAGTATCTGTAGCGCCTTTTAAATTGAAAAGATTTTGCCGACTAGCGAAATCTTTTGATATTTCTATGATTTCATCGCTTTTTGTATTGCCTAACATATTTTTGCATTTGAATCGGCCCAGCAAAGAATTTAATACATCTAGTAGTACAACAGGCATTAACTTTTGTTCTGAAATTCGATCCAAAACCAACTGTAATACTTCGCCGTAATGCTGTGGAAAGTCATAATCAAAGACATGTACTAAATGACGACGAAACTGGTCTTGGAGTAGGTTGGAATCGGGCTGAGACCAACACTCTAAGCCTTGCAGTATTAGGTGCAGTAATTGATTTATTTCATTAAGTTTCGGATGGAAGGTTTCAAGCCAAGTTACCAAGTCAAACTGAAATTGAGAATTCAAATATATTACTAATTACTAAGAATTAGCTAATATTCTTTCACTTACTTTTGATAACAAAACAAAAAGTATCTTTTTATCACAGCGTTTCAGGTATGAATCAACGAGGAATTTGTACATATTTAAAAAGCTTTGCGGTGGTGTACGAAAAGGTACAAAGGCGCCAGATAACTGCTTTATTAGATCAGGTCGTTTTAGAACTAATTCCAAAATACTAAGACCTTGTTGTTCCTGGTTTTCGTGTATAAATATCTTAGAATAAAATAAAAGTTGTTAAAATGTAATCGAAATCTGCGTGCTACTTAATCAGCTTACATTAAGATCACATAGTAGCTGACTGTATAAGTCATTCGTTGGTTGAAATTTCATTGTGACATCTGTTAGGTTTTCCACAATGGTATAGAACATATGTATGCCTGTATTGGTGGCAACAGTGGAACGCTGCGTCGCATTAGATGCAATCAGAATACTTCAAGCGAGATAGATAAATAGAAAATATTAGAATTGAATCTTTTCAAGAATGTTTTTTATATTACCGCATAATGCAGCTTAATGGTTCTACGCAACGTGCAAATTCCTCCACATTCAGTGTAAGCATGCCATTTATAATCTTGTCACGGCGTTCTATATTCTTATTTATCTTTGCTTCAACTGCACTATCAACGCGTATTTTTTCAAGTTTTGTGATGATACGAGCTGGATTGCTGCATTGTCGATTGAAAAGCAATGAATTGCAACTTTTAAGTTTTATCTCTTCGTATGCCACCATTTTTTGTAGTTTCATGACCTTTTCTAAATAGTTTCTGTTTAATGAATTCAATTCACTGGTGTGGTAATGGAATTTCCTATAAGAACAGAACAAAACAAAAAAAAAAAAAAAAAAAAAAAAATCAATCAAGCATAACTTAAATTTAATTACATACGTTGCCATGCTGTTCAAGGTTTTAAGCTGTTCCTTCAGTTCCGAAAATGTGGACTTTGTAATTTCAGTAGGTATACTGACAACAGGTTTCGTGAAAGTTGGTGCTTCTAAACGCTTGTCATACGACGATAAATGTTGTTTAATTCGTTCGTGTGGCTCAATATGCGTTTTGGGTGGCAATGGGGTTCGAAGCTGTTTAATGGATTTTGAACGGTAACAACTCTGCGCCCACTGCTGGGCCTGTTGTTTCTGTACTTTCCGTATATCGGGTAAATATAGAAATTCCGTCCAATGTGACTGTAATAACAATATATATCAAAGAAAAATATATATCTATTTAAACAAATTGTATACCGTATTGCCATTTAATATTTCGCGCAACTTTTCGTTATTATATTGTGGGGGGAAATTGCAATCATCCTTCGAATGCTGGTTTATAACGGTCTCATGCAGCCATAAGTCATAAGATTTCATTATTCTATTATAAAAAGGTTTCAGAAATTGCAAGAGAAACTAGTTTGCAGATCAATATTCAACTCACCTTGCACAATCACTATAGAAAATGCTTAAATTTTCCTCAGCTGCGCGCTTTTTAGCTTCATTAGTGTAGAAAGCATCTGCAGCCTTGATGTTGGAACTAATCTTCTTCATCAAGGACACATTAAAGTCATACAATTTATCCGAAACACCATAAGTGCCAACGAAACTTTAAAATGTTATATAAATTCACATACATTTATGTATATTATTTTTACTTAAATCACGAACCTGTACTCGCCGCTCTGCAAAGGCACTCTGCTCAAGAAAAGTTCAAAAAACTTCTGACATGCTATGGGAAAAAGTGGATGACTAATATCCATGCTAGCGACGAGATTCCCATATTTGTAAACCACAAGCTGTTGGGCGGGAAATGTGTTGGTCTCTTTAAACGCCGTTAAGGTTTTCTGCGGAAAGTGCACGATATAAACATGACAACTGTTGTAAAACTTCATCCACCCACCCCACGTACCTTCAGTGCAATCTCCAAAGCGCTTTTTCCATTAGTTAAAGCTAGTTCTCGCAAGAATTCCGACCAAAAATGGGATTCTTGTGTCTTAAATTCTATCTCTAATAGCACCAGTGCTAGCCAACTCTGCAGCGGAGAAACGGTTGGAACGCGCAATTGCACAGAGCCGAAAAGCGTTTTTAGCGTAGACATTTTGCTGGTGCCCTTCCACTCAAAACAACCCTTTTGATTGATATTTTAAACTTCATTTGTAATGAAGCAAATGAATTACTTACTTTGAAATAGTTCTGGAAGAACTCTATAGCTTGATAACGCGCGTCCGAGAACTGGTAGGCGATTCGCAAAATCACGTCCAGCAGGTAAACCACATTTGTATTCTGCCAATTGGGCAGGGAAGTAAGAAGATTTAGCCAGACATTGATTAAACTGAGTGGCGTGGTTAGGCCATATCTGAATAGAATAATTAAATATTTTAGATTCTACAATATTTATAAAAGTTTTTAAACAAAATGCCTGTTCGTCTTGAATGGTTGATGAATTTTTATACTACATAGATAATACAAAAGCACTCACTCGGTATAACTTGTTATTTGACGGTGGATCATGTTATCAAGTAGCTGTAGCACTGGTCCAATTGAGTTTGGGTAAATAATGTCTTTTGCCATTTTCAGGTAACTGCGATCAGCGGATAGTAGAGCATTCAATATGGCATGAAAACTAAAAAAAATCAATAAGAAATACCAGTTTGTGCACATTTGTTGTTAACTCAAACTCACTTTTCACAGCTAGCTAATGTTTCCGGGGTCTCTAGAAATAACGGCACGATTAATTCAAGACAGCGGATAACCGCTGCATGCCGATAATCGTTTAAAAGTAACTTAATTAGTTCCAGACCTCTTTGGCAAATCAGCGGTATGGTATGGCCATGAAGGCTAACCAAAATCGCAACATACACAGCGAGCGGTCTGTTCTCAGAGACACCCTGATAAATTGTATCGATTTGCTCTAATTCAGGTACAAACATTAACGGCTCCGTGGGGTTAAGCAGTGTACGTTTTATTGACTCAGCACCTTGATCCATAAGATGCAATCGTAGTAAGGAAACCATGGTCCAACACCAGGTTGAGAATTGTTCTTTTGTGGTTAGTGAAAAATCAATGAGACTTGAAACTTGACGCATCCCTTCGGAAATTCCCGTTAAGCCAATTACTTCGGGTGCATGTTTATTAAGCGCTTCAGATATCAAACATGCCATGCGAATGTGTATATTATGAGGTAAAAAGAGGCGTCCGTCATAGTCGAAACCCCAATTTAAGTGGCTTATGACAACGCGTGCAAGCATATTCTCTTGTGACGAGTAATCAAAATGAAGCAACCAATTGGAAAGTATCTCAAAACTGTCCATACCGGGCTTCCAGTTTTCCAACGGTAGTGATTTGATTAGATACGTGCCATTTTCGATTTCATTAAAACGAGCTTTAAGTTGGATTAAAATGCAAGTGATGAGATCTTCATAAGATAACGTTAAATTAACGAGCATATCCCGTGAGGTTTTATAACAAAATTCGCGAGTGTTAACATTTAAAAAACCGACCTGTAAACGCGCATAAATAGAATAGAAAAATATTGAGTAAGAAATAGAAAGACTTACATTAAAAATGTGTAAACAGATAGTTCTTATTAAATCCCAATCTTTAGCTCTGTCGCGTTCATTGGCTATTTCGAAAAAAGCTTGTAGTAAATAATATAAGTCTTCAGCCGATGAATCTGCATTGGCGATTTCAAAATGTTTCCAGAATTCTGGTGTGTTTATAATCTCGCTGTAATCTACAATATGATACTATTGATAAAAATTTGCATAGGAGTATAATAAAGTTGCGAAATACCTGTTTGGTTTGGCGGCAACTCGGCCGGAAAGCCGACATTTAAATAATAAAATGTTTGCCATGTAATTTCTCTATCAAGCGAGTGGAAGGGCAGAGAAGAAAAGTATTGCCATGTGCCTAAGTTTCTTGACCGGTATATGTAGTTGCATGCCTTGAACAATAATGTATTTAGTTCCACAGATATGCGTTCGCACGTCTTTGCATCCTTTGGAATTGTGTTATGCCTGAATAAAGTTGATCAATACATAAAGAATTACAATTATTTATACCACACTATTCTTCAACCATATTACATAAAAATCTCATAATAATCGGTGCTGTATTGTAACGTATGCCGTATAAGCCGTCCCAAACGCTTTGCTAACTGCTTGTAACGCTCCGTGTTGTATGTTAGCATTCCTTCACCAAAAATATCTATCAATCTTGAGAAGAATATTAGCACGCGAAGCACATCATTAGCTAGTATAAGATCGGGTGAAATCACATAGTCGTTCAGGAATTTCTCAATTTTTAATGCAGAACTGGAAAAGGGGAAAGTCTTTAAAAGTAGTACTTTTTATTTTCACAATTCCCATTAGTACTAACATAAACATTTTTTCAAATGGTATTTGATTGAGTAAAGCTATCAAATCACTCTCTTTCAAGCCAACGCATTCGCCATTTGCATTATGACTGTCTTCACCATCTGAGTCTATAAGTATCCAACGTTCTTCGCGTACAGGATCCGAAATTTCCTTGTGAGACTTTAAAAATGATTAAAGATGCTATAATAATCGAACTTTCAAATAAATTACTAACTTTCTCAAAATCTTTTAGATATTCATTGCGTTTGCTGATAGGTAAAAGCAATATTTGTAAAGTCGCTATACAATTACTCATTTCCGATGAATTAAGATCTAATGGCATCTCATTCTTACTAGAACCTGGCGGATTTGTACTAGGTGTCTCAGCGCCGCAAGGAATTTGTAACAATTCGGTTGCCCAATCGCCAACGCCACTCGGACAGCGTAAAATGTTGAATAGAAGAAACCAGTGATCCTCTTTAGTAGCAACAAGCAGATGCAAAGAAATCAATTTTCGAATCCATGTTTTTAAATCATTTGAAAAATCCTATTAATAAATCAAAGCAAATTAATTAACAATATAGATTGTGCCACAAATATTAATTGATAAATGAAACCTTATTTGGACTCAATTTGCGCATAAAATTAAACAAAATAGATATAGAACGCCGCAATTGCGCCACATATGGTATTACTGAAGGCTCGAACACTTTTTGTAGTGTAATTTTTTCTTTTTGTGCAATCGTCACCAGGCATTCGGCGGAAACCACATCATTAATCATTTGATCTATCTAAAAAATAAAATTCCCACGTGTACATAAACATTTTAAAATTAAAAATTATTTAAATATATAAGTTTGAAAAATTCGCCTACCTTCACTTTCGTAATCTTTGCTGTTATTAAGTTTGTGGTATATGTATGACAAACTAATTCATAAACGTTGTTTAATGCCGCGGACGTATTTTCCCACTTTTTACCGTCTACTTGAGCCACGCTGACGAAAAAAATGTAAAGATGAGTTTAGATTTTTTACAAATTAAAAGTCTTCGGTCTTCAATAAATCATATTTTTAAATTTTTATGATTAATATTCAAATTAAAATTATGGACCTTACTGTATTACATTTGTCAAAAATTATGAATGAATAACTATTGATTAACATACATAGAAGAAGTTGCGATTTCAATATTCGTCTTCATTTGAATTCACCTTTTCAATATTTAATCTTTTGTTAATAAATATAACATTTCAGCATATGTTAAAACCGCATACGAATCAAGAATATGAAAGTAATATGTAAACATAATTTGGTAAGCGACAAAAAAATGAATGTAACCTTATCAGAAGTACATGTATAGATTGTATTTATTAGGGTATATATGTATATTATATTTGTATGTACAAACAATGTTACTCATATTGGGATCTTTTATTAACTTACTTGTATGTCACCGTCTCTTTCAGTATAACCCTATCACCGCATGTTCCTGAAAAAGTTTTTGTTACCGGAACCTCAGTCCATATATGCTTTTGTTCGTTTGTAAGAATTGTCCTTGCTTTTTCCACGTCATACATATTGACCGAGATTTTGCTTTGTAAGTTGTAATATTCAAGAAGTGCGGCATACAGGGGATCACTTTCATATACCTCCAATAGCGAGTTCATAAGAAAGTCTAGCTCAAATTGCTTAACGAGTTCCAAGTCAGCGCAATGATACAGTTGTTTTTGTTGCTCCGTTGTAAAGGGTAATAATTGAGAGTTGGTGAAGTAATACTTAGGAGAAGACGACTTTGAAGGTCGGTATACTATATTGGATTTTGTTTCTTCAAGTTGTAGTGGCGAAAGTTTAGGGTATTGAAGGATTGGCGTTATAGCTACTGGCACAACTTGTGATGGCATACATTCCGACACATCAGAAAGTGGAGCTGATGGAACCTGGTTATGGTCATTTGTGTTCTGTGCGTCGACTGTTGTGGCTTCTTGACATGCAGTTACCTGTGAGATCTCTTCAGGTTGAGATATTTCACTGGGCGATTTTCGGTCAGATATTTTGATATCTTGAGTAGGCTCAACATACTCAGATGCAATAAAACAGTCTTGACTTACAATGTCTCGCGAGTTGGTTGTGTTAAACTGGGCAAAGTCCACTGATTGCATATTCTCAATAGGCTCTAGCCTACTGGTAGTTGCATTTTCCACTTCTTCTTTTACTTGATTTTCCACTTGAAGGAAACTATTTCTGGAGACTTCCGGTTTTTCTTTGACTTTCGTTTTCTTTGTTCTCTGCAATTTTGAACTTTGTTACTATTGTAATAAATAAAAATATTTATGTTTTTACCACTTTTGGCTTTTCTAAAGTAGCCATATTGACGTTTTCTTGGTATTTTATGTAAGATAATACTATAACTATGTTTTATTAATGCGCAGCAATCAAGAAAAAATAAACGCACGAAATTGGATCACAATCTAAAAATCCCCGAATAAAAAATATAAATAAAGTTGTCTTTTTCAGCTGATTGTCACATGTAATGATGATACCATACCTCCATAAAAAGCTAACAGAATTTCAGAATCAGGTATGGCAAAAAGCAAAATTTAAAGAATTGGTTTAAAAAAAGCAATATTTGGTCCAATGAGCTTTGAAATATGCATAAACAAGTTTTTGAATATATAATTGATGGTAATTAGGCCACCGGCAGACCAGGAATGTGGAGTTCAGTACAGTCAATTAGTCCTCGCACACAAATCTGTTTTTTTTTTTTTTTTTTAAATATTAATAGCATATCCCATAAGGCAGCATTGCATAAACAGCTGATACTTTCATTATTTATCAAAACAAACAATTTAGTTGTAAAACTTAGAAATATTTTCAGTCTACAGTGTATTTACTTTTAATTAAAATAGTGATGACTATTTATCATTTATATATATTTGACAAACTTGGCACAATGATGTACTATGCGGAATGGAACCGTACGAAGAAGTCTGGTGTTAGCAGGGAAGAGGTTGCTTACAAGCATAACTTTTTTTTGCATGAACTAATTTTGTTTTTTACAGGAAGCCAAACTTACTTATGGTATGCTGTTCTCAATAAAATCATTTGTCAGTAAAATATCCCCACATGATCCGCGGGAAGGGTTTCTGTTCTACAAAACTAATAGATATGCACTTCATTATATGGAAACTCCTTCTGGTCTCAAGTATGAATGTTGAAATTATGAAATTTTATATAGTTATAATAATTTTGCACTCTATTTTAGATTTGTATTGTATACCGACACTGCTGCATTAAACGTTAAAGAACTTCTGCAGCAATTGTACAGTAAAATATGGGTGGAGTATGTGGTACGCGATCCTCTCTGGTCACCTGGCACTCCTGTAACATCCGAGTTATTTCAAACAAAATTAGATGAGTTTATAAAACAATCAGCACTTTATAGTATTCGTAATATATAGTAGTAGTTCTACAGTGTTTCTCTATGCACTCATCACAAATTAATATTATATATATGTATAAAATAGATAAAATAAATAGAAAAACGCTTTTAGTAAAAATCTTACGCGCTGTATTCCTTCCTCATATAATAAAGGGAGTAACGAGAAACTAAGATTCTGGTACTTAAGTTGGAAACGGAATTTCTTGCCAAAGTTCAGCGGTTTTAATTGAGATGGATACATACATACCAAAAATATATGTGGCTATATAAACTGACATACCTTTGAACACGCAGGCAATTTTTCTATCTTGGGACAAACTCCACACTAACAACAATACCAGACTTGAAATCCAAGCAGAATCAATCTTGTTCACAGGTGATATTTTACTGTGGGTAAAACACAACTTTAATTCAACCACACCTGACTACAGATGGATGAGATTGGCGGGACTCTCTAACGATCACTGCATCTTTCTTACTTATTGTCCAGTAAGATCCCATTTTGCTAAAGGGGAGCTAAACAGAACGAAAACCGATTGGTTTCTGGTGGCCTAAGCGCGCACCACGGTCTGTGACATTCTAAAGTATCAAGTGACCAAAGAGGAATTGAGCTTCCATTCTGCTAAAGGGGAGCTAATCAGAACGAAAACCGATTGGTTTCTGGTGGCTTAAACGCGCACCACGGTTTGTGGCATTCTAAAGTATCAAGTGACCAAAGAGGAATTGAGCTTGAAAAACAGATAGACGATCCCACATTCTCATGCACCATGACGCCTTGAAATCACCAGCGGCGGTCTGATAAACAGCATAACTTGGCGTCCTATGTCAAAACGCAACAAATCGGGGAGCCACCGTCAAATCATTGTCAGAACCGAAAGTCAAAAGTTAATTTCTTTTCATAAACGCGGGAATATGGCTTTTAACACTGAACTCTTCGTTTGACAAAGTGATGGGACAAGTGAACCGTCGTCTGCGCAAACTGCCAAGCACAGGGTGGTCCTTGATTTTTCCAAGGAGAACGTTCGAAGGGTTATCGGAAAGGTTAAACGCGCCGAGGTTAAAACATAACATTAAAACAGCGTGAGAAGGATTCTCCACCAATAACCTCAATCTGTCTTTGACTACTAAAACAATACCCGATGTGTGGAAACAGGACAGGGTGGTCCCACTAGTAAGCCTGAGGAGACCTGCTCGCAAAGGATAATAATCTCTGCCACAATATGCCTCCAGCACCTTAGGGTGATTCTTGATTTCCCATTAAGTTTCATATGCCCAGTATACAATGAGTCTTCGCACGACACTAACTACTTCTTTGCATGCCCACTAGAATTTACCCATTTGGACATTCGATTAAATGACCTCGGTGACCACAACACCAGTTAACCAAATCTTAGTTTAAGAAAGTACATATGTATGCATATCTTGTCAAAGCGGCTGTCGCACTGGGCAAGTGCTGAGTTAAAAATACGTATGGATTTACATTCGTAAAGTTGTATTCAAATTCATCGTTTATTCTTTAATTAAAATTTTTATTAAACAACTAATTATTACTAACTAACTATACATATATGTATGTATACAGCTATAAAATGTGTCTTGTTATTGCCCACATCCATTTAAATATGTAAATATTTTTGCCTCACAATTGAAATTTGCAAATATTTCATATTTTATAATATTCTTCTTATGTCTAATGTATCAATGTATCATGTATGTATATAATTACATATGTACGCCCAACAAAACACTTAACGAGAGTACATACATATAATATACTATGGAACTATGGAACATACTTCTAATTGAAAGCTGACATATGTACATACTACGGTATATGTCATTTATAAATATGTATGTATGTATATAGTGCTCATGAAAACGATCGAATACCATCTCATATGCATGTATTGTATATCTGTATAAGTATAATTGAATTAATCAGGACAAGAAGTCAGATTAATTAATGATCACAGTGACTCCTTCAATATCATTAATTCCTCATAAAAACTACTACACTTATTTCACTAAAGTTTCATTTATTTCTTTATCCGCTTATTTGTTTGTCTTCATTGTGCTGTGAATACATCTATCTTTTAGTTTAGAATCGTTTGAGTTATTACTAACTTTCAGACTTAATCATTACTAAAAATTACAAATTCACATATGTATGTATGTATGGGATAGCATAAATATTAAGTAAATAAACTTAAGTCTCTACGATGTACTTTCGAATATCAATGAATCGCCCCGCACCTCAGACGTAACGTAGGCATGGAGGGAGTATGCCTATCACACTGTTTCTCTCTCTTTGAACTGACGGTAGGTGCCATTTTCACAGCTGCTTGGTAGCGCATCCAAATCCGCTGTTCTTGCCAGGCTCCCCGTGCCCGTTATGCATGGTTCGTCAGTGCTGCCATCTGTGCGTTTTTGGCTGTTTTGCCCATTGGTGAATACCGCATCGATGGGATTAATCTTCTGTTTTTCATTACTGGTGCCTATGATGATGTTTGATTCAGTTTGCCCATCAAATGCATGATTCACTTTGGCACCTTTTCCCTTATCCACCGCTGTTAAGTCGCTGGTGGCTTCGCTGATTATATAGGGCTTGTCGCCAGGGAAACGTTCGCACCAACGCAGGATCACTGGGTGTAGAAGCTTAGCATCGTATGCATCCTTGGGGTCACGGGTAAGATAACTAATGATAACGCCAACACCGACTGTAATCACAGCGCCAAGCAAACTGTAATACATGTAGCTGATGGAGTAGAAGGTTTCCATGGGTGTACTATAAGAATGAAAATAAATGTTAAATGCAATGAAAAACTGATCTTAAAGAGGATAATAATAAAAAAAATATATTATTAAATAGGAATATACATGATTTCTTTGGATACTCCGAAATTTCTATAATTTTTTATTATAAGTTAGGTTATACTGGCTGGCTGATACGTCCTACAATGGAACCAATAGAGGTTAAGTTTACTTCGAGATATGGTACTGATCGTTTAAGATGCCAAACGCCTTTTGCGAAGTTTGAGAGAGCCATGATTTCCAAAGCCGCCCTGCAGTCCTTTTTGACCGTGTGGGCACGAATTGGGTGTGTTTTTCTTTGTTGCCATTGATCTCGGCGGGCTTGCACACTGTTAAGGCATTCCATTCATGATCCGTGTATCAAATTTAAAGATATCACCAAATTCATTCAGTGAGTTACGACGCCTGTTCGGTATTGATAACTACTTTTCTTCTGTGGTAACTTGTTAGTGTGTATCTCGAATTGAGAGCTACAAATTCCTTTCGTAATTGTTGCAATTCCAGCCAACAGTCTTGTTTTCGAGTATCATAATGATGACCACCATAACCAACTTCAGAACTTAAAACTGACATTGAATTTACTTATGCTTGTGGAACGATTTCAACGCATAAATCAGCAGTAATTCGAATCACGGAATAATTGGTAGAGTTATGAAAAATTTCAAATCAGGCAGGGAAACTGGTCCGCGAAATGATCCGCTGTCAACATACTATTCCACGTTAATTTCTTTCGAATATACCACAAACTGTTTCCGTTCCAACGGACAGAAATAGGGACAGACACTATATATATATATATATAGACATAGGTCCTCGTTATGATTGAATCGGCATGAACAACAAGTTTGCAATGTGCCCCAACCAACCTAGAATTTATTCTCCCTTCATGTTTATGCGAGTCCCTTTATGTCTATGCGAGTCAGAGGTATAGAAATTTAAGCTGCCTTAATCATGCAAAGTTTTTTTCTTAATATTAGTTTTAATTACCGTTCAGGCGCCATAATCGTTTGTTCCAGAGGTGTAGAGGTGTTGTGTAACGAATGTGAAATCAGCCAAGATTGTTCCAGCTCTTTAGGTTTGATTATAGATCCTGAGAAAGTCGTGTTCGTGCAACCCTAAATCCAGATCATATTAAAAATATATAAAGTTACTTTATGTTCATTGCGTCGAAAGTGTTTTCTACATACCTCAGTGGATGTGGGTAAGAAAGAGTTCTGCGCACTCTTATCAACTGTGGCGCTGCCTGTGATAATCCACAATACGAAGGCGCAAGACGAAATCATGCCAGCCGAAGTGCCCTATAAAAAAAAAAAATTAAAAGAAAAAAAAATTCAAATTCAAATTTTATTATGAGACGTATGTACGTATTCTAAAGTGTACGGCTCGCGTCAGACACAAATAAAATCAATCGGCACCACGCATACCGTATTGGCGTTATGTGCCGCACGCCGTAGGAATTTAATTCTGAACGACAAATTAATTACCTTCCAATTAGCAACCGGCACCAACATGGCCAGGATAAAGCAGCCCAATAACGGACCAGATGTGGCCGAAAAGGCGAGCAACGATGATTCAATTACGCCCGACAGTAGCCCCACGCCGAAGGCAACACCCATTGTGATGAAGCCACAAATGACGGTTATAATCTTGAGGATGAAAAGCTGTTGTTTGTCGCTGAGGCCCTTGAACTGCGGCATTTGCGAGACGAAGTCCTCCCAACAAACAGTTGCTAATGAATTTAAATTCGACACCATCATGCTGATGATTGTGAGCAAGCATGAGAAAAAGCAAAAAGCAAACAAAATCCAAGTTAGAAAAAAAAAAACCATTTGAGTAAGTTAAAATTTGGCAAAGTGCTCATAAATTGCAATTAAATGTTGAGTAATTATAAAATAATCTGCGAAACTTAATTGAATACCCACCACAAGGCGCCGTTGAAAAGCATCGCCATAAAGATGCCCACAAAGCCGGGTATAACAGCCAATTGGTCTTCAACGAAGAATGGCAAAATCTCATCCGGTTTGCTTATGTAGCCTTCAGCGTAGGGATCACAGTTTACGTAGGAGGCGTAGATGACCATGCCCGACAGCCAGGAGAGTGAAAAGAATACAACGATAATGGGAATATTGGTCATCATTACTCTGAAAAGGATGTACAAGTTTTGGTGTACTGCGGCGTTATAGCTTTGTTCAATTTCTGGCTTCTTACCGTCGCACTTGACTCATCGATTTCAGTGAGACATATCGCTGCATAAAGTTCTGTTGGCAACCGAATTGTGACAGCGACATGAACAACTGGCCCATCCATGCGGAGAGCGTGTCTACACGCACAGTCATATCGCCCGTGAAGTTGAAGAATGTTAAACGCCCTGTAAGAAAACAAAAAAAAATAGCAATATGTGTTATATATAATATTGTATCTTCCTCCAATTAATGATTTATTAAATTAATGACGTCAGTATTGTCTGAGTCTGAGATGAGTATGCATTGGCAGGTAATGGTACGTAAGACCTTATGGATAAAATTGGGATCACATAGCATTTGTACTTTGCCAACAACTAGATCAAAATTTATATTGGAGACATACATATAGAAATTACGAGCACACCTCTTCAGGAAATGTCAAAACCTTGGAGTATATTTTAGGGTCTGAAATTAAAACTGTAAAAGCAAAACTTGACAGGCAATTAGCCGAGCTACTTTAGATCTCTATATTGCAACAATACGAAATTGGCTATATATTTTGTAGAATCAGTTTGAACAAACTCCGGAGTAAGTGCTGTGTTACACAGCAGTGATATGTGGGAGTGACACTTGAGAAGTTGATAGAAAGCTCCCATTGGCATCACAATGGGCCTATAGGTATGAGTGTGTTGGCCACATACACCAACCAAACACCCGCATCAACACAACTCAACTCAACTGAACTCAATACCATGAATCCATTATTTACTTGATGACCCTCCTCTCATTTTTAAGAGAACACCAAGCAACTTATCAAAAATCAATCTTTTCTAAATTCAATCAACAAATTGGATAAAAAAATGTTTTTGACCAAATTCGTGTGCGGTTCTGATGTTGGTCGAACCTACGTACAAACCAAATAAATTCGCTGAATATCTACCTTAACCTACTTATGCCGCCCGGTGTCTGCTTGAAAGAAGTGCTGTCGCTGACTATCGGTATATACGAGTACTCATAGTCTAGTTGGTCCGTCAAATTGGTCGCATTCGCCTCGTTCTTCCCGTACCGTTATACTTGAATGCAAACATTTACTTTACTTATTTACTATACATTCTCACTTCACCAATAAACGATTTTTGTGTGGTGAAATCATAAAGGAAAATGAACCTAAATCGGTTGTATACATATGTTTTTCATACACACATACATTACTAGATATTAATGTAAGGCTCATATTTGTTTGTTTAGGAATCTCGCCATGGAGACGTCGACAAGAACACGCTCAACAACACATTCATGACCATCTGGGTTGGCTTTTGCAGCATCTCCATTACAAGTAGCAGTTATGAACGAGACAGCAACAGTAACAGCAATAACAACAACACTAACAGCAGTTTTAAGCTTTGTTATGAATTGAGTGTGTGAAATGAATGTTTTGCTTGGATGCTATTGCCTTTTTGGATGAAACATCCTCGCGCAAATAAACACTGCCAGTATTATTGTTTATATGATCCTTATAGCCATTTATTCATATATTCGGTGTTGTAAAAAGAAATCCATTATTTTTGCATAAAATTGAATTGTTTATTTTGTTTTTGCATTTCGTATCCAGCGTTATTCAAACGGTTTTTTGTGCAATCTTTAGCTCTTGGGCAATCGAAACAGACCTTCCACTCCGTGAAACATTAATTACATGAAAATTACCGGAATGAAACCAAAAATTGTGCATGATTGACTGACCGGCCTTTCGGCCTTATCCAAGAAAAACTGTAAAAAATAGCGTATTTTCACTTTTCTTATGTCAATCTTTGACGCACCCTCAAATAAAGCTGAATCTATAAGGTAGTTTTATTTCCAAATTTTTTACACTAAACGCGTTTGCTCAGAAATGTTTGAGCTTATCACTTATAAAATTTTAGATTTAGAGATTTTTAAATTATTTTCTCTTACAAAACTTCCTTGCAACATCTCTACAACTGTGAGACGTAGATATATAGCACTTTACTAAATTTGTAATACAAGAATCATAAAAGGCATACACTCGATGAAGTCCACAATCAACGGTTTAATGTGAAAATTCTCCACATAATTTTTTTGATTTTTTTTTTTTATTTTTTTAAAAGAAGAGGGTAGCACGAAGCCGAATGAAACTATATTTTAATTATCGTATCATGGCTGAATCAACGAATCACAAGACAGTCAAAAAAGCTTTTTTATCACAGTATGATATTCCATCTTTCTAACGCCATTTAGCGGAACCCGATCGGACTTATCGAACGCGAGATACAGATAAATAACGCCATCTATTGGAAAAATAATGGATTTCTTTTTGCTACATCTAATATGTTACAAACGTAAATCATAAGACAAATCAAACGTTCGTAAGTAGGAGGCAGGTCGGTTAATAATTTTGTTTGCAGTTGGTCATTTATGTATGCACATACACGGTGTGTCCAAAAAATAACCGAACTTTATATTTAAATCATACAGCATACAGCGCGCCATCTATTAAAAATTTGCAACATTAAAAAGATACATTCATCCTCTTTCAAACGCACCTAACATCATGTAAGTCGGTTGACAGATGTAAAAGTGACAGCCATTTCAATAAAACCAAAAGTGTGCTAATGGTTCAAAAATAAAATGGAACAAAGAGCAAATATATAATTTTGAGTTTAACTTGAAAAAATCGTGCTGAACTGGTGGAAAAAGTCCGTGAAATCATTGGTATCGATGAAAATTTTATTACGAGAATGTTGGCCGAGGAATTGAACACGAGTAAAAACACTATTTGGAGAATTTTAACTGAAGATTTGGGGAAAAGAAAGGTCTGTGCGCGATTTGTTCCACATGAATTAAATAACGACCAAAAAATCGCTCGAAGTTTTAATGAAAATGGTCTCATCGACCATCCTCCGTATTCGCCTCATCTATCACCATGTGACTATTTTTCATTTCCAAAACTGAAAACCAAGATGGAGGGAGCATTTTATGATGATATCCCAGCCATTCAAGCAGCCATAACCGAGGTACTGAAGAACATTTCTATAAATGACATAAAAAAATCTATGCATGCGCTGGTTGATCGTTCCAAACGTTGTGTTGAGTCAAATGGAACCTTTGTTGAATGAAAAATAACTTTCAAAGATAATATAATGTGTATTTTGTTTTATATCCAAAAAGTTCGGTTATTTTTGGGACACACCGTGTAGATTATGTATTTAGTATGGGTTTCAACTTTATTTGTATTTGTATATATGTATTATATCTGCCATGATACAATAATTTAAAGGTAGTTTCATTTTCTGTTCGAAGCCTATTTCATAGATATCTGACATTAATGTGTTTCGGCCTTTTCGTGCTAAAAAAAAATTTACGATTTTTAAATAAAAAATATGTGGAGAATATTCATATTATTAGATGTTCAAACATTAAAAAGTCAGATACTATATTGTACTTTCCAGCCCTAGTGGACTTCAACGAATGTATGCCTCTCATGATTGTGCTGTTACAACCACCAAACCCACCAAAATTTAAAGTGAATTCAAGAAAATGAAGAGCTGGATGGATTTTCTATATCTAAGTTTGAATGCTAATCCGCCTCATATATTTCAAGGAAAAAGGTTAGTGTTTTCATAATTGTTGGTTATTTAGAGCAGCGCAAATTCATTATAAAAATCTCATAATTGCGCTCGACGTCGATTAAACTTCCAAACACATTTGAATTCAATATAACCGATAAATATATTGAGGTGGTCAGTTAGTTAGTTAGACGGCTTGTTCGATCACGGAACCTTGATCTCCTGTGAAAAAGATTCCTCTCACCTTCAGTTCAGGACATTCTTGATGCCTAGACATGCAAGCTATGCTAAGCAATCGAAGAAGAAATTTCTAAGAAGTCGATAATGGACCGCAGAGTTTACCGGGGATATGACTATCCCTATCCGGTTGAAAAAAATATTTTAACAGATCCATACCTGTATTCAATATTATCGTTTCTGCTTAGAAGTTAACCCGAAAAATAATTGAAAAGTCTCCAAGTTGAAAAGATCAAAAATTTTTGGGCAAACACTTTTGGTGTCGAAAATTTCGAAGTGAAACTATCTTATAGAATTTTTGTATCAAGCGCATCTACTATTTTTGCTTGGAGTGTCTTTTCTAGCTGAGTATGTTTAGATTTCTGAAGAATAATGTGCTTTCAAAGAAATTAGCGTATGCGATTGGGTTGTAGAGGATGAAGAGAGATATATTTAAAACAGAGAGGCTCTGTTGTATTTGGCAACAAATCCTTTGCCAATGTGATAAATGTAATTACTAAATCATTTAACAAGAATCACTCTTGCCAACAAATGTAGGGTTGACTTCTCCCTTTCTTCAACAAACAAAATTGCTAATGACACCCCATCTTTGGTAGTAGGTGATGTATGATGAAGTTTCTTTCTAAGTAGCGGGTTACGTGCACGCCGAGGCGAATACTGAACGATTCTGTTGCAAACGAATTCTTTTTGCAATACTTTGACTTAAAACCGTTATTTTTTCATCAATTGAAATTTCAAATTTCGTCACGTAGTAACTGTAAGAATTTAAGGCTTTAAAGGCTAAAGGAGATAATAGAAAATAAGTAGAACAACTTTTAAAAAGTTTCCGCCATTTTTTTTACTATATCCCAATATACTCTTCTGAGCTTAAAGTATTGCGGCATAGCACTTTCTTTTAGATTGCGCCAAGTGACTTTAAACACATACACATACGCATAGGCACACATACAAAGTAATATCTGTGTGGCAGCACATTGATTGATGCCACAACGCATTCATCATATTATATTATAATATATTTAAGTAAGTATGTATCGCACAACTCGTATTCCCAACATTCAATATGAATAAATTGGAGCATTTATTAAAATGACAGCGCGTGCGGTGGTAGTGACGCGGTTGGGCTCTGAACAGCTGCCAGAGGTCGTTTGCACTGCACATCTATAGGGTATGTATGCGCGAAAAATATTGTACATACATACATACACCAAATAAAAATATGGCTCAAACAGTCGATAAAACAAAGGGGCCCCTTGCGATTTTCGAATGAGTAAAATGAAGCTGCGACAGCGGATACAAATGGATTTGCTTGGGGCAGCAAAAAAAAAAAAACAATAAAAAAGTAACAATAATAATAAAAACGCGACAATATTGCATAATGCGAAAATGAATATTTTCTGTGGCAGAGACTGCTGATAATTGAGTAATGTTGATATATTGGTTTTGTTAAAAAATTATATTAATGAGAGATCGACTTCATTTTTGGGCGGAGAAATTGTTAAATAAAAAGTTAAACTTAAAATATACCACTATTCCTCACTTGCTATTTATAAAACATGCGTTCGAGTGTTTTAATGTTCGTGGAATGGGGCTAAGGGTCGGAAGTCGGGGTAATAACAATTAATAAATACTCACCGTTATCACGATTAATTTGGTATGTTCGTTGAACGCCGCCACTGACAATCAGACCTTTGACAATCACAGCTAATGTTACTAAAATTACCGTTACTATTTACGTAATTCAGCGGTGTAAGGATTTAAATCGAAGCCGTTTCATATAGAGAGTAGAAAAAAAAGAAAAGTAAAAAAATAAATATGTAAATAATAGTAATCTTCATACATATATCATTGATAAAATGAACTAACTGAAAATGTTAAAATTTTGCGATAGAAAATGAGGAATTGTTTTTTTAAATTTTTACAAGTTTTTTTGTTAAGAATTTGGAATTTTGAATCACTCTATTTAAGGTAATCTCACATGAGATAGAAAGACTCTTATCGGTTAGTGAGTTCCTTTAGTTCATCACCATCACTAAACACTTACCGGTTTGTATGACATCGGCATTAATGGCAGCTTTTAAACCACCCTGTAAATGAAAGAAAATAAATTTTTAAAAACTATTATATTTGAAGCCAAAGGTATTGATTTGCAGCTAATGAAATAATCTGATGGATGGGAGTTATGAAGTCTGCTACTTATGAAAACAAAAAAAAAAAAATAAAATAAAATAAAAATAGGAGAGAAAAGAAGGCGTGTAATTGAATATTACAACATAGAACTACATAGCTTATGTTGGTTCAATGGTAGAGCACTTGCCTATTAAGTTAGGATCAGTTGGTTCGACACCCGCCATTAAGAAGTCTAATGAGGAGATGTGGTGCTCTCTGAAACAGCTGTCGCTTCCACTACCATATTCCTTTGTTGCTTTGTTGTGGAGCTTGAGAAAAAAACGACGACTTATGGAAGGTTTCAAGAGCGGAGGAAACTGTTGTGGGATCCAGAGGGGTGAGCTAGTGGCGGATGTCCAGAGCATACTGAATTTATGGAGAGAACACTTCTCCAGCTTGTTGAATGGCATTGAAAATGAAGCACACGGAGGAAGTCAACCTGAAACTCCAATTGATGACGATGGAAAAGATGTTCCATTACCCGACTGTGAAGAAGTCTGAAAAGCTTAAAAGAACAACAAAGCGGCGGGGACCGATGTATTAACGGCCGAGTAATTCAAATACGGTGGTGAAGATCTGATCAGGTGCATGCATCAGCTTCTGCAAAGTAAGTGTGCTCTGCCCAATCCACAAAAAAAAAAGGGAAAACCCCAAAGTTTGCGCCAATTACTGGGAAAAAACCTTCTTAACAACGCATATAAGATTCTATCGAGTGTTTTGTGTGAAAGACTGAAGCCCACCGAAAAAAACTGATTGGACCTTATCAGCGTGGCTTCAGACCAGGTCAGTCACTCATTGACCAGATATTTACCATGCGCCAAATCTTAGAAAATACCCATGAAAACAGGATCGACACACACCACCTTTTTATCGATTCTTAAGCAGTCTTCGAAAGCACAAAAAGAAGCTGCCTCTACGACGCTATGTCTTAATTTGGTATGCGAGCAAAATTTCTTCGGCTATGTAAACCTTGAGCAACACTAAAAGCTTCATCAGGATCAGGAAAACCCTCCCAGGCTCGTTCGATACCAAACGAGGTTTCAGACAGTGTGACTCTTTATCGTGTGATTTCTTCAATTTGATGCTGGAGAACATAATAAGAGCTGCACCGGATATACGGTATATTGACATAGCTCAGCGAATGAAGAGACATCGGCTACGCTGGCTAGGTCATATCGTCCGAAGGGATGAAAGCACTTCAGCTTTGAAAGTCCCCTGGTGGAAGCAGAGGAATGGGAAGACCTCCACTTCGTTGGAACGATCAGGTGCAGAGTGAACTCACTTCACTTAGCTCGGCTATACTCGAAAAGACTCTCGCTCATTAACCCATAACAGAAATTAAAATACTGTTTGGAAATAGAAACAAGCATTGATGGTTCACAGAAAAGCAAACAGTTGTTGAAAAATTGCCAACATTTGAAACAATAAAGTAAAATGAAAATTTTATTAAATTTTCGTAACCGAAGTGCCATGGGTTAATCAACGCCGTCCCAGGGCATAAAGTGGCGCGGGATTAATTAAAAACAATTCAAGTCTTATGAAAGACGACACAATGAAAAACAAATTGAAATGAGTACACATTCGCACAAACCCATGTACGTGCGTTTTTTTTTTGCACACGACTGTATTCGCGTTCACTCTTTTGGTTTGCGCGAACTTAACGATATTTAAACACACTTTTTATAGGCGTTTGAGGTGATCAGCTGGTGGAGGCCGAAACTATCAAAAGCCAATAAAGTACACAATAGAATATACACACACATACATGCATACATCTGTGTATACATGACCAGAGCACAAATAGTTGTAAAAATGAATAAACGGGTTTATTTATGCGAAAAGTGATAAAATAATGCCTATAAACTGATAAACACATATGAGTGTGCATACACACATACATATGTATGTGCATATAGAAGGCTCTACTGCTTAAAAAATATTTAATTGTTTAATGCTTTTTATGGGACAAGTTATACATATGCACGCACTCATACGCACACGGAGGTGTGTATGTATGTATGCATGTGTATTGTCTGCTGATGAACTTACCATGATGGTGAAAAATATGCAAATCACAGCCATGCCCACAATGGATGCCCAATAGGGAATGCCAATTACGGTCGACAATGCGACACTGGGTGTGTAAACGGCAATGCCCAGGGAGCACAGTTGCCGCACTATATAGGTGCCGGAAGCAAGGCACCGCACTAGTCGACTTTTAAATCTGAAAATAAAAAGCGAAATGAAATATTAAAATGGGGCAAAATGTTGTTTTTCTTACTTCAATTAAAAAGGTTATGCAAATAGTTGTGGTTGCCTGATGGCTAGTGCGTGTGATCGTCTATACCTAACGGTACCTGAATTAAATTCAATTCAATGAGTAAATATGTTTGAGGCGTAAAGTCGCTTGCAGAGCGGGCGGACTCCTACTTTTAACACGTCTATTATAATTTGATTTCATAATCCTCAATATTTCTGTTGGTAGCTAAAAAACTTTGCGGGTGATAAAACTGCACTTTTTTCTTGTTCCTAGCCCAATAAAAAATGTTGGTGTATTTCCGCTATTGTCTTTTGTTCTTTTATTTATGCCTTTTTCATTTTAATGGAAGCAAAAGTTTTTATGTGACTACTTCCAGGCCGAGTTTATGAACGAGAATATTATTTTATTGTGTTTTTAATTTTATTTTCTTCTACACAGCTCGTTTCGCGTCTCATTCTTTCAATTACTCGACAGCAGTTGAAACTCGACTTAAAGATATATACGAAGAGTTGAAATATATAATGTGTTTAATATCTTTTGCATAATAATAAATTCACTGGCTTAGTGAACACCGATTGAACCGTTGCAGTTAGAAGTTGAGAATGCGAAAATAAGATTATATTTTGTGCTCTTTTCTATCATTGGTGTTAAACTATTGTATTGCATCAATTAAATTATTTTCAAAATATTTTAACACAACACAGATTTAATAAATATCCTACTAGTAAGCTCGGATCCTATCTATACACCACAGCGAACTTCACTAACTAAAAATAATTCTACTTTCTCCAAACTAGTTATACATTTATAAGATTAGCATCAATAATTATATTGGTCTAGCAAAAGTACTTGTCATAATGACTTTCTCATAGAAACACTTGTCCCTCTTGGTAAACAATTGGGACAATCGAATTTCACAGGCTCCGCTTGAGACCGACTCTTCACTAGCCAAATTCTTTGCCGTAGAAAGGAACAGATGGTAATCACTTGGTGAGAGGCGCGGACTGTAAAGTGGATGCATGGAGCTTCTCGCGAGTTACTCCGGATGTACGTGGTCAACCGTTGTCTTGGGCGATCACTTCCGTCAGAGGGTCCAATTGCTGACGGTACAGATGAGAATTAAGTCTTTGGCCGAAGAGGAGCAGTTCAAAGAGGATGGTTTCTTGTCAATTCGACCAAATACATAACTCACATTACGGTGAGACTCGACGATTTCTTTTACTTTATTGACATTTTCGACAATTGGCTTTCCACCATATAGACTCTATTCACACATTCAGCTGCCTGGAACTTGTCTCATAAATATTCGTGAGCTTGGCAAATTTGTTCAGTAATGCATTTTATGCTTAATTAGTTCGAGAAATATCAAACGAATACAAATTTGCTGGACAAATTGGACGCCTGGAGGGTTTGCGGCAACGCGGCCAACATTTGCAGGTTTTACGGTAAACTAGTCACAGCGCACACAAAATCGGGACCGCGGCACAGCAGTGCATATACCAGCATTCATACATGCACACTTTTCTACACATACGAGGAGTGTTCAAAAAGTATCGCGAATTTTGAATTTTCGCGGGTTACGTATAATTGAATTTCGATTTTTTTGTGACGTTGTGTTGCTACTCATGTCTGTCACTTAGGCCAACAAGATCGACCATTTTGAATGTTCACTTAATTGTTGACAGCTGCTTTGCTTGCACGTGTTTTGGATGGGGTTCGATTTTTACCTATTCAAAAAAATGGATCAAAGAACCTGTATCAAATTTTGTGTGAAAAACGAAATGAAGTGCGCAGATGCATTCCGAATGTTGACTGTGGCATACAAAGAAGCTACCTTGGACCGAAGCAACGTTTATCGGTGGTACAAAATGTTCTCAGAAGGCCGTGAAGATGTGAACGACGAAGAGCGTGCCGGACGCCCGAGCACAACAACAGACGAAAAAATTAATTGCAGGGGCGTGGTGCATCATGAGTTCTTGCCACAGGGTAGAACGGTCAATAAGGAATATTACCTACAAGTTATGCGCAAATTGCGCGAAGCAATCCGCCAGAAACACCAGGGTTTGTGGAAGAACAAAAATTGGCTTTTGCACCACGATAACGCCCCTGCTCACACATTGTTGCTTGTGCGCGACTTTTTGGCCAAAAACAATACACTAATGATGCCGCAGCCACCGTATTCACCAGATCTGGTCCCCTGTGACTTTTTCTTGTTCCCTAAACTGAGGAGACCCATGCAAGGACGACGTTACGCTACGATTGACGAGATAAAGACGGCGTCGAAGGAGGAGCTGAACAAGATAAAAAAAAAATGATTTTTTGAAGGGCTTCGAAGATTGGAAACACCGTTGGCACAAGTGTATAATATCTCATGGGGATTACTTTGAAGGGGACAAAATAGATATTCATGAATAAATAAATAATTTTTGAAAAAAACACATAATTCGCGCTATTTTTTGAGCACACCTCGTATACTCGTACATAATCACATATGAGAAACCCTTATGTAGGGGTTTGTTGCGTTTATGAGAAACTGTTAATGCTATTACATTCATACATAGTTCGCTGTGCGTTGCATGGTTGAGTTGTGGGCATAGACGATGCACTACTCGCAAGCACATACATACTCGTATATCCATACACACATCTACCTTTTGTTAATGTGCACATTAAACTGTGTCAGTTGATCGTAAGTGTGCTTAAAACTGCAACGATTTTTCGGTTGCACTCATTTACTCAATTCGTTTGCAGTGGGCCAATAAAAAAATGTCGAATGCTGAGCTGACTGAAAAACGTTAAACCGTTAAATGCTCAGGTTATGCCCATGAATTAACGCTTTTCTGTATAATAAACAACGATGGATTTAAGCAAGCATACAAAATGGACAATAATTTGTGGGAATGTGCAGTAAAATCAGTCAAAATAAATTATTTAATAAAAAGGTCGGGTTATTGCCAGTTGATAACTTGTGGGGTGAATGGTATTCCTGAGGAGTTTTTAGTACACTTGAAGAGAGCTGAAAAAGTGAAATTCGCATATAATTTCAATTGTCAAAATGAATTTTAGATTACAAAATCGGTAGTGAAATTGAAGAATTTAAGCATTGGCAGAATTATAACAGTACATGTATCAAATTATAATATACAAAAACGCTTACGGCTTAATTTCGATTGAGGCTGCCACCTTTTCAGAATACTTTATTACATTTTACGGTATAGTAACTAAAAAAAGGTATAATGAAAAATGCTTGAAATCTAAGAAAAAAAGATTCAAAGTGTAACTGTGTCACGGTGCATTTGCCTATGTTTTTTTTGTTTTGGTAAGCATTTATATATTCTTTGTTGGCATTGCCATCCAATTTGTATTAGCAGTTCTTTTATTGACAACTGAAAGTGTTAGTCAAGCTTTTGTGGGTTATTCAATTTTCTGACCTCTTCTACTGGGGTAACTTATCATTGGTTGAGGCGTCAGAGCCATATATCCCACGTTTCATCATCATCATCACCATGACGTCTTCGAGTCAAACTGGATCGTTGGTGATGTCAAATCAAGCAATTACGGAACAAACGAATTTCATGCCCAAAACATTCGATAAAACTGCATGGCATGAGCCAATTGATATACCTACATCCTCTGCAGCTTCCCATTTGCCAAACATTTTTTTTCACAGTTTCGATGTTTTCGTCCCTTGTTGACGTGGTTACAACTCCCGGCCGCTCATCGCCATTTTTGGTTTTCTCAAAAGTTTAAAATCGAGGAGCTCACATACACAGTTGTCAGTTGATAATACGAACATATGATAAACATACATGTATGTGTAACAGCGGAGAAATAAATTCAATAATCCCGAAAATTTTATTGAGATATTTATTTGTAATTTACTGTATTCTCATATTTGTATATTTGTAGTTCACCGGCAAGTGGCAAGAGAGGCTTGAGTTGAATTGCACAAGTCATAGTGGAAAAGGCTGGACTACGAAATGTTCGAGTGGGGAAAATGTATATATGTATGTGTGGACCTATAACAATGAATACAATTATTTAAACATTTGTAGTCCTGTCGATTATCATAGTTATGCGCTTAAGTTCTTCGCCTCCAGCTGTTATGCGCTCCCCTAGCATCTGCTCATTTCTTACTATTGTGTGAACAGCATTGTTGTCTTACAAATACACGTGTAAGTAAATACATAGATAATGTTTTATTATTATGCTTTATGCTCTTTAATGGCAGCATGCGCCGTAAGCATTTAAAATTGAAAAAATTCTCAGGCAAATATACGCTCTTAATATATACGTGTATGTATAAATATACAAGTATTTATTGTAAAATAATTCACAAGTGCGTCTGCCTACAGTCAAGCGAAAGCGAACATATGTAGCATACACATCCATACATATGTAATTAATACATAACGCGTGCGGCGTATTGTATGTTGCGCATTTCGCGGTCGACTGCCTGTGGTCGTAAACAAATTATTATACTATGTTGCTTACATGGTTGAAGTTACATACAAACACACATACACCCGAATGCACTTTTACGCCCTTGCATAATTCGTTGAATTTATGGGAGTGCAAAAATTGCTTGCATACTTATTAATGATGATGGCGAGTGCGAAAATGGCATCCCAGCGAATGTGACAACATAAAATGCCTGTCTGATCGATGCGGCGAAATTGGAAAATAAAAGTTAAATGATAAAAACGAACATATTCTCCACAACAAATTGCGAATTGCCAGGGACAATGCGGCCAACGCATTAATAATTTTTTTATTTCATATTATATATGTACATATATGTCATATAAGTTCAGTCGGCGAATCGTAGGAAAGCAATAATTGACGATTTTAAAAATTTAAATAAAAAGTTTAAAATATATATGAAATAAGTATTCTGCAAAAAGCCGCCAACTGATAAAAAGAGGTTTGCAGTTAAGAGTTCGCTGAAAGTTAAAATATTTTGA